GATGATTCAAAAAGCATAAAGTGAATTTGTTGAACAAAATCGGGATGTTTTGCACGAATTATATGATTTTTTTTTACCGAAAAGGTATTTATGAATGGGAATAAATATGTACTCCGTCGGTATTTATCACTCTGTTTAATACCACTTAGAGTCTGGGTGCTGATAATTACCCTCGCCTCCGGCTCGGGTAATTATCAGCACCCAGACTCTAAGTGGTATTAAACAGAGTGATAAAAACCTCCGGAGCACACATTTATTCCCTTAATAATAACACCACTCGAAATCCAAAGAAGAATGTTCAAAACCTAACCCGTTAGAGTTTCAGCTCAGTGTATATTACAATTTTTGAGAAAATTGTGAAAAAAAAAAACGATGCACAACCTTTTGATCAGAAAATATGAATTCATCTTCATTTCCAAAAATCGTTCAATTGACTGATCATTGGAAATCACCTTCATTTCTTGATTTCTTTCAAATGAGAGCAAGCCAAACAGAGCATTTTCACAGGGTGTTTAGAACCAGTACGATCTTTAATTTAATCCCACGTAAGCTTTTTGATACGAATTTGGTAGGTTGTACTTGTGGGATAAATGCAAATGATGTTATTTGTCTCTAATGAAACTGCTTTCTACAACATTTGCTTGAAGTAAATTCCAGCAGTAACGATTATACTGGAGGGTGTCCCCCCCCCCCCCCCAAAAAAACCCTCAAAAGCAAACAAACAAACACCCCAATAAATAAATCCTCAAAGCGCCCTCTTTGTCACAGCTTTTTAAAAATACATCAGAAATATTGATACATATTTGAAAAGTATAGTTCATCAGCTTTTCAGCAACTAAGAAATCTTTCCAACCAGGGAAACCTTTATTGAGTTTTGGCCAATTCCAAAAAGTGTCACCTTTTCATTTTTTTTCCCGACCGTCTTCATTGTCATTTATTAGGAATGTAATGGTTTGGGGAGAGGGTAGTTTTGCTTTCATTCTTTGATTTTTTTTAATCTTTCTTTCTTTATTTGGTTCTTTTGTATATTTTTTTCCGTATCAATTGTCATTTCCTCTTTTTGGAAGAAATGGTAGTCCTGAAAAAGACTGTTTTGTTTAATTTCTGATATGTTTACTGTTCTGCTCTGCCCTCTTCTTGGGTGTCTCATGGATGCAAATTTTTGCACCTTGTTCTCATTGCAAAAGTCAAACATCGGACGCCGTGGACAAATTTTTTTTAAAAAACCAGTATCTTTGTTTAATTAGCCACAACTCAGCAAGTCTTGAACCGATTGAAATTATCTTTTCAGTATACTAAGGCTAACAAACTAAGGTTTATGGACAAATCAAAATAAATTTGACTTGTACTTTATAAACCTGTGAAAAAGCAGGTACTTTCAGGGTTCATCAGTTTGTTTTGGGACACCCTGTAAATGACAATTTAAACTTACTTTTGGAAACCTTTATTTTATCGTTGGAATTAAATATGCAGCCATTTGGAGCACTGTTTGTGATTCAACTACGGAAAAATCGATATATCTTAAAACTTGTACCGTACTGAACTCTGAGAGTGCAGACTTTGGAGATGAAAATCGGAGTGGATGCCTTTGCCTTAATGGCTGCAAAGATGGAAGATTAGATAAATACAACTTGATATGCATGCATGGTCACGCGCGAGTCATCGCACCGACAAAATGCACGCACATGCTGCTCCGTGACCACGTAAACAGTTGTATGCGTCAGAGTTGTGAGAAGTCCTAACCCCTGGAAACATCTAAGGAAATAAAAATACAGTTTGATTTCACTGTAAAGGGTGTCCTGATTTATTCGGGTTGTTTCCACGCTTTTATTTATTATTATTATTTATTTTTTTTTATGTTTATGTGTACGATTTTGTGTTTTATTCAGGTTCCCCCCCCCCAATTTTTTTAAAGAATTTGTGGAGAGTTTTTTAAAGCTGAATGTATGCATGCAGTGGGATACCCAGAAAATAAAAATGTTTGTTTGAATATTTTAGAAATTGGAAAAAATGTTGCAACCTGACGCCACTTGTTTCTTCATATATCATCTCAATGAAGGTCAGTCATTGCAAAAATGACGATAAGACATGAATCTGGGACTGAGAAATATTTCCAATTTTGTTACGTAATACTTGAGAAAATTTTCTGGACTCTCCATAGACTTTGTACACAACCGCTGAAGTGGCATCGTCAGGTTGCAACATTTTTCCCTAGAAATACAAAAGAGTTTTGTACCAACTCGTAATACGTACATGTAGTGCACTCCTGTTGTGTACACCATACCCCAGAAAGGCTAAAAATAGCCATTGTGCTACATTATACAGCATACATCCTATTTGGATCACAGCTTATATTGTATTATGTTCTATATATAGCGTGTTCAATGTGTCATAAAACCCACTACATGTATGGAGCAATTTTCATGGACCCTTTTATGTTTGTAATAACGGCCGACTACATTGCCGTGTGACGGAGCATTTTTGCGTCAGGCAGCAGCATAAGCTTTGGAAAGTCTTCCACAAAACTCAACTCATCGGCAATTATTCAGATTACTCTGAATATAATAGGCCAAATAGGCCCATCTTGTTAAAAGAAATTGGCTAGTCTCCGTTCATTATTAGAGTAGCGTCAAAGCCCTTTTCATCGATTTGCATTGTATGACTTCCCTAATGACGTCAGTTACTCAGCAGTCATCTACCCCACACGTGGCTGACAATATACTCTCTCAATATCCTCAGGCTTACAAAACATGATCATTATTGCAGCCGTTGTGCTTCACAGCAAAATGTGAAAGTCATTAATACAAAAACACGTATTGGAATGACCAAACTGATATTTTTTAAACCGAGTTTATATGAATTGCAAAGCTCCAAGTCTCTTCGACTATTAACAATAAATTAAGATGGGATTAACTCTTTAATTATATTTTAGTGTTCAGCTGTTCTGAATTCATGCAGTTATTAATGAAGACAGTGGCAAAACTGAATGCAGTGTTTGAAATTCATTCATCTTTTTGATTATTTTTGATTCAAAGATACTTAAAAACGCTGGATTTCAGTGATAAAACTGAATCCCAACTGTTTCAGAGTGTAACATTATCCCCACACAATCTTCTTCCAGTAAGTAGGCAAAGTGAAAACCTCAAATGAAATACGCGAGTGGCTTGACTTTGTTTCCAAAGAATATATTTTTATTTTATTTAAACTTTCAGTTTTATTAGCAGATAATCAAAGAAAATGTACGTGACTTGTTCAGGATGTAACATCCCTGTAGTTCATTCAAATCAAATAAACCAAAATACAATCATTCACACAAAAGCGTTCCAAGTGACAGCCCAAAATGACATTATGGTATAAAACTTGTGTCTATTACTCTTAAATAGAGTAGTTTTGCACTCTTTCACATTTAGCGAGTATATTCTCAATACTACATGTAGCTGATTAATAGATTTTCTTCATACCAAGGCAAAAATATACTTGAACATAATATATATGGAACACAAAAGGAGAAACAAATTTAGAAATCATTTTTAATCCAATAGGCCTATATATAATTGTGCTCTTGGGTACATATTTTACAGATGAAACAATACGCAAAAAATACATGAAAAATGAGAAAGGGCAAGAAAAAAATACTTTAATATATTGACATGTTTGTATGAAAGAAATTTCCTGGAATGTGAAAAACAAATAGAGGTTTACAAATGTCTTTTGTTGACATTTCGTTCTGCAATACCATTGCCATATTCTAGTATGACTTCATATTCTAGTAAGCCTATCAGTGGGCCCAATTTCACGGCGCTGCTAAGCACAAAAAATTTGCTTAGCACAAAAAAAGTCTGGCTTATAAAAGCAGGTTACCAGCCAAAAGTCAATGTGATTTTCATGCTAAGCAAACAACAGCCGAATACCAATCACGAGCAATATACATCACATGGAGTTTTGGCTGGTAACCTGCTTTTATAAGCCATACTTTTTTTTGTGCTAAGCAAATTTGTGTGCTTAGCAGCACTGTGAAATTGGCCCCATCTTCAAACATTCCTTAAGGAACAATTTAAGTGGAGTTCTGTTGTCAATAACCTGGAAAAATGAACTACTTTAATGCACTAGGAGAGTCAACGGGGTAAAGTGCACATTTCCCTAAAGGCTTAGCAATGTCGGCTGCTGTACAGTCACTGAGCGGTGAACAAGTTAAAAAAAAGGCTGTACTAAAATGGATCTATCCTAAGGTCTTCTATCATCAGTCAATGGGGAACTGATCATACCGCGCTGCTGTTTTCTCCCCGCAACGGATCCTTTATAGAAATCGCAATAGCCCGCACTAATGGCGTTGCTGGCAATTTATTAGTCCAATACAAACACAGGTGAAAAGGAACTCCAAAAGACAACAGAAATATGGACATAGATGTGTGGATAATTTTCACGGAGGAAATATCGTAATAGGTTTTCCGCAATAAGAGATGGGAGCTTTCTTGGGATTTTCCAGCTGGACATTGGTGATAAATTCTCCTCATTCACCACAGGTGCGTTTGATGCAGGCTGTGGACCCCATACAATGAATGTGTGTTTTGGGGGGCAGGCAGGAAGTGGCGTATCCAAAAAAAAAGGGGGGGGGTTTGAAAGATAGTTTTTCAGTAACTATTTCCGTAAATGGTTAGAGTTCTGACATGAAAAAAAAAAAAAAAAAAAAAAAAAACCAAGCTCGAAAACCATTACAATGCGCCATGACAATCGGCATATATACAAACTCTTGCAATCAATAAATTGGTAATTCATAAATTTGGAGTCCACTATTTTTCCTGTCCCTATTACATCTGACATCTATGATTTTGAAATTCTGATGCACTAATTGTGTAATTCTCATACACAGTCGTCCTCCATGAGTGACTATGATAGCAAACTACCTTCCCAACAAATTTTTCTTTTTTTATAAAGTCATTTTTAATGTTACTACAAAGTACCAAGGTAGCACAAGGACAGGACAAATGGGGGTTTTTTTGGCCGTTCCGGAATCAAGCAGTTTTACTTCCAATTTTCGGTTTCCGCATACTATTTCATTGAAGTTCAGTTGAATCCGAGTTAGATTTGACATGGCAATCATCTGGGTCCAAATGACAAATTTACGATCCAAATTGATACTTTCTGGATCAACACAACGTTTATCATTTCGGTTTGCGGTAACACCATGTGGTAATAACTACTGCTTAGTAGATATTTGGTTCTGAAAAGAACTTGTACAGCTTATTATCAACTTTTGCTAAGCGGTTTTAGGTCTTACCAGAACAGTCACAAATAGTACACTTTGAACCTACATTTGAAAAATGACCCAAATGCAAAGAAAACAAAATCTACAAAAGACACGGTAACAGCATATAAAGCTAGGACCCACAGCAGCCAGCAAGGGACTGTGCAGATGGCAAGCAGGCAGCAGGTTTAATGGGGCAGAATTCTTACTTGGGCCACTAGTCTTCAGTCAAACTCGGAGCCAATGGTGATGCTTATTTTGCCCGGGTGAATCTGCGTGGTGTGATACCACTGATTGGTATCCAGGACAACTGGGGAAAAATAAACCCAAAAAAGTTGGATTCAGACATAGAATTGTAAGTAGTAGTACCATGAAGTATACTGTGGCGGAATCTCCCGAGGTCAATTGAAACCAGAGGTCAGGGAAGGCAATCACCGACTGAGGTGAAAGTTCCCCTAACCCCAAACTATGTTTTCTGCCTCGAACCTAGGGAAGTTTTCGAGCAGCCTCTAGGCCCAGGGATGCAAGCTCGTTTTGGTGGAAATATACCGCCCAGTTGGATACTGATTACCAGGCCCTGTTACTCTAGTACAGAACAGAACAAACAGACGAAGAAACTGCAGAAATATTGGACACTGGGATACACAATTCTCTTTGTGGAAAGGAAATGATTGGTTTATTTAATCACGGACAATTCTGACTTGATTGGGAACTCTTTGATTTATAAGGTTATTATCGTTGGATTGTTATAATTGTATAAGTTTGAGCGCCTTAGCTGATCAGTATACGACAAAACCCGTGTGACAATAAACTTGACCGAGTACAGTTATTGACTACCTGTGACTATTCCTCCCAGGCCTCTATGTCAACCTCTGGGTCGACCCTCTATGTTATCGCACGTCTCTGTGAACCCACGACAACAATCCTTATGCCTGTACTTAGTCACCCTACTCTGTAAGTCAAACACTCAACTGCAACAATTGCGCAAACATGCACTAAATTACACGATAAAGCAATTCGGTCCTACCAGGCTAACTGGGTCACACCACGGGGCTCTGCGCTCCGCACAATCGCTCAACCACGGTACGAGAAGTCAGGCCGAAACAGCGTCAACACCGGTACGCTGCACTACCCACGGCCTCGCCAAAGCAAACGCTAGCTTCGTCACGGACAATGGCAATTACACTCGTACACTACTACTGAGCCCGCTCCATACACAGAACTGAGGAACAACTTACGCAACTCACGCAACTGAACTACTGAACTCAACTGACTCACGCCCGGCCGACCATGCGCTCAAGTACCACGGCAAGGGTAGCGGGGCCACGCCCAATCACGCCGTGGTTGGCCGCCAACCCTTCACCTCTGCCCGGTAACACCAATCACGCATACGCGGATACAGGAAACACAGATTGCAAGTGCGGTCACGGCCTGCCTCGCCCCGCCCAGCAACAGCGAGCGCGCTCCGATTGGCGGCCACTCCCGCCAAAACCACGAGACATTGTCCGCTGACACGACCTGACTTCCTTGCCAAGAAATTACAAGTAAACACTACCAAATAAGGGGAATTAGACTGGTGTCGGCCCACCCCATCACGCCACACAGGCCCGAGCAGAGCTTGGACTGTCCCAGTCCAAACCAGCTCGAACCCAGTCACGAGATGGGTGACCGGCACCAGTCTAGCTAATTAGATATGCACAAGCTTTTTAAACTTCACGTAAAATTCACTCTTATGTTTTTCGTTATAGAAAACTAAACTTATGATTTCTCTTTATACAAAACTAAACTTATGTGTTCCTTTACACAAAACTAAGTCTTTGTTTTTCTTTATACAAAACTTAGCTTATACATGGTAAAGTTTTCCTTACAAAGAATTTGAACCACACAATTTATTTAGAAATCATGAATCCTCGGCAAGGATAAAAGCACTTTTCCTGATTGTTTTTCTTTTTATACAAGGAAATGTTTTGTATCAACAGATTACAATTTATGCAGATAATTTTAGGGATAAGACAGATGGAAAATCACACTTAAACTCGAATAGTATCCAAAATTAACTGGGAATCATTTTAACCAATGGATGGATTTCTTTTCAAACAAGATGAAGGCAATAATCACTGATTTTAAAACTTTAAAGATAAAATAACTTCTCTTTTACACACTAAATAGCACCGACAAAACTTCTTTTAACTGTTAAAACTAAAAACAACTACTAACACTAGATAAACTTTAACTGGCCCTAAGGACTTGCTAGTTGGGTCCCGTCTTCCTGAGGATCATCCAGTGCAGCGTCCAGCTCTGTCTCTCGCAGATGCTCGATGACCTCGTCGTTTCTCTTAACGACCCTGTTGCGGTAGATCACTTCGGTGGTCGTCCTTACTCGGATTGTGACGAGTCTCCTCATCTTCAACGGAGGTGAGTCACGACCACTTCGGGAGGGGGAGGGGGTCATCTCTTCTAGGGGTGGCATAGATGAGTCAAAGTCTGCCACTCTACCGGTATCTTACAGGCAGGCGGTGCTCTCTCCTCGGGTTCCTCCGAGACATACTGGTCCTCTCTGGCACTCTGATGGGGTCAACCTCTATCTGAACATCTCCATTTTCTACCGGAGCTTCTATTTCCGGTTCTTCTTGCTCTATTTGCTCTGTTCTCTCTGTTTCCTCAACATGAGGAGTCTCTTCTGTCACTTCGACTCGAGGGTTTTCTCCTGTTCTATCAATCTGAGGAGCTTCTTCACATGCTTTTGGAGAGTGACTCCAGGGTACCAGTTTCTCACCCTGGTATGGCTTCAGTCTGTCAGAATGCACCACTTTCATTTTTCCCCCTTTCCGTATCTGTATTCGGAAGGTCACATCTGACAATCTCCTAACTATCAGCCACGGTCCCTCCCATCTCAACTGCAATTTAGGGGACAACTGTTTCTTCTTAGCCGGGTTGTGTAGCCAGGCAAACTCTCCTTCTTTCAACCCTTTATGGGTGGCTCTTCTGTCATAGTTTCTCTTCTGTCTTTGGGAGTTTTTCCCTAGACAGTCCCTAGCCCTCTGGTGTGCACTCTGCAAATTTCTTCGCAACTCTTCTGCAAAGTCTGTCCGAGTGTCAAACCCTGTCTCTGGACTACCGGTGACCAGGTCAACTGGTATACTGACTTCTCGCCCCAACATCATTATATTGGGGGACTCCCCTGTGGAGTCTTGTGGGGTGCATCTATACGCAAAGGTTGCATAAGGGAGGAATCTATCCCAGTCTCTATGCCTCTTCTGTGGGTCAATCAGCACAGCCACCATGTTTACTAGTGTCTTGTTAAACCGTTCGACCATACCATCCGATTTAGGATTGTATGCTGTCGTTCTTGTCTTTGCGATTCCTAAGACCTTGCACATTTCTGTGAAGACTTCTGACTCAAAATTGGTGCCCTGATCAGAATGGAGTTCTTGTGGTACTCCAAATCTACACACGAACTCTTGCACCAGTTTGAGTGCTACTGTACCCGCCGTTGCGTCAGGCAATGGATAGGCCTCCATCCATTTTGTACAGTAATCACCCACTACGAGAATCCACTGGTTCCCACTCTCCGTTTTGGGCAGTGGCCCGAGCAAATCTATGGCCACTCTCTCTACAGGCACTCCCACTCTATATTGTTGCAAGGGTGCAATCCCTTTCTTCGAAGGGGACTTTCTTCTTGCACAGAGGTCACAACCCCTTATGAAGGAGCGAACATCTGCGGACATACCTGGCCAAAAATATCTTCTCTTTACTTTGGCAAGGGTTTTCTTTATGCCCAAATGACCACTAAGCAGTCCACCGTGCACCTCCCTCAGGGTTTCTTTCCTCAAACTCTGTGGCAACACTAGTAACCATATCACGACTCTACCGTCATCAGACTCCCACCTTTTATGCAACACCTTCTCTCTCACACTCAACTGGTCCCAGTAGGACCAATACGTCTTATGGGCCGCCGTCAAGTGGGAAATCTCTACCCACTCCGGGCGATCTTTGCTCTCTTCCTTGGCCTCTAAGGCCCAACGTATCGTCTCATCTTCTAACTGGGCTTTCCTTACAGCCTCTAGTGGGACACTTGGTTTGGCCTCTATGCCTCTAACCAATGTCTTGTCCTCTTGTGACGTCACTTCCTCTCGACCAACAAATGGCTCTCCAGCACTACTAGTGCATTTAATTCTCTCGCCATTTATTCTCCACTCTTTGGTGTGGAAATCCAAGTTACCCCCTGTGGGCAACAAGAAATCCATCCCCAGAATTCCGGGATACTTCATCTGTGTAAAAATCGCCCTGATTGGGTGCGTTGTTCGTCCAACTTGAACTTCGACCCAGGCGACTCCTAACACCGACAGGGAACGTCCATCCACCTGTCTCACTTTCACATTGTCTGACTCTAAGACTGGTCTCTGTTCCTTGGGTATCTCATAATACACTGTACTACTAATTAACGTATCTGTGGCACCAGTGTCAACCAAAAATTGGCACTTTGTTTTTCTCACTACACCCTCTACAAACAAACCAAAGCGGGCATCACTCTTTGGGTTCGGTAACGTAATTACCTTTCCCTCCTCATACTTTCGCCGCTTCTCTCCTATGGCCCCCTTGCAATCTCTCCATCGTCTCTTTGCCCCTCTAGCACTTCCGAGGTGCCTACGGGCCCCTCGAGCAGCTGGCTCGACTTTTCCTGCCCCAGGCTCTCCCCCTGAGGGTCTGTTACAGTCTCTGGCAATGTGGCCGTGCTCTCCGCAATTGAAACACTTCCAGCCATCACGCTTTGGACTACTCTTCTTTGGTTTCTTGCACTCTCGCGCAAAGTGACCTCGCTCCCCACAATTGAAGCATTTCCTAACACTTTGCTCACTCCTTTGTGACTTCTGATCAGCAGGTTTCCCCACTAGGTCACTCTTTTCCTGGATTTGTTTCGTTAACTCTGTTAACAGTCCAGCCAAACTTTTCATTCCATTCTCCAATTCGTGGATCCTCTGTTCCACCCCGGTATCTAACACTCTAGCCAACCTCGGAGGCTTTCCATCGAGCATTCTCTGTTGCTCGACTTTTTCGAAATTCTCTGTTTCTATTGCAGCTCGAATGGCCTCATCTAAATTTTCAGGACGAGCCCTGTTTATGCCCTCCCGAGTTGACCTACTTTCGACCGCATCTAGAAAATGGTTCTTAGCCAACCGGTCACGTGACTCTTCCTGTATGTCAGGGTACGCTTTAACCGTCAACTCTTGTATGGCTTGGCCTAACTCTTGCAATGACTCTTTTTGGCCTTGTCGGCGATGCCTCAACTCGACAAGGTAATTTTCACTCTGGCGGCCTGAGCCAAATCTCTGTTCTAACAACTTCAACAGACCACTGTAGGACTGTGTCTTTTCAGTGGGAACGTCACCCAACAATCTTAGGGCATTGCCTTGCAAACTAGCCACCAAATATTTAGCCGCTTGCTCTTCGCTCCACTGATTCACCAACCGGCAAGACTCGAAGTGCCTGAAATACTCTTTCCATAGCACCTTGCCATTGTATCTATCAGGAGTGATATTTGGCCGTCTACTAATTGGCCGCTCGACACTCCTCTCTTTCTCTGCCACTACTTTGGGTTCACTTGTCGGCGTTAAGGGCCCTGCTGAGGTCTTTAAACTACCTGCCAAACTGTTGGCACCTGTACCCACTGAACTCGGGGCGAAACTCAGCAAATCTCTATTTACTTTCTCAGGAGAAACTGTTTCTCCCCTACTCGGGTTCTCTACAGTGCTATCTGTGCTCAACAGAAAGGACTGGAGCTCCTCTATTGCACTGCTCCCCGTTAAGATCTCTGGTCGGGTACTTCCTACACCACTACTCTTAAGGGGTGTACTTTCCCCAAACTTCACTCTTTTTCCCATCCTCGGTCCAAGTTCAACTTCAGGCGACCGTGCGGTCACCGAGGGACTCGCCCCTCCCTGGGAAAAATAACCAGAACTCTCTCTTGGCATCTGGAACTCGATTTCCGAATCGATCCGCACTGGCCCCTGTTCTTGGCTCTTTTTGTCTATACTTCCCACCGGGGAAGGTTCCTCATAATTGGCTCTCATGGCTTCTAATTTCTTAGCCATCAACTCTTTTTCCCATTGCAAAAATTGAGCATCTAATCTCAGCCTCTGCAGTTCACTCTCAATACTCGAAGTATTCTCTTGACTCATGTTTGTCTCTTTCTATGATTACTCTTCAACCACAGAAATCACTGTACTCAAAATGTTTCTACTGGCCAACTCTTTAATCAGCACCAACTATCCCACTTCTGACACCATTTGTGGCGGAATCTCCCGAGGTCAATTGAAACCAGAGGTCAGGGAAGGCAATCACCGACTGAGGTGAAAGTTCCCCTAACCCCAAACTATGTTTTCTGCCTCGAACCTAGGGAAGTTTTCGAGCAGCCTCTAGGCCCAGGGATGCAAGCTCGTTTTGGTGGAAATATACCGCCCAGTTGGATACTGATTACCAGGCCCTGTTACTCTAGTACAGAACAGAACAAACAGACGAAGAAACTGCAGAAATATTGGACACTGGGATACACAATTCTCTTTGTGGAAAGGAAATGATTGGTTTATTTAATCACGGACAATTCTGACTTGATTGGGAACTCTTTGATTTATAAGGTTATTATCGTTGGATTGTTATAATTGTATAAGTTTGAGCGCCTTAGCTGATCAGTATACGACAAAACCCGTGTGACAATAAACTTGACCGAGTACAGTTATTGACTACCTGTGACTATTCCTCCCAGGCCTCTATGTCAACCTCTGGGTCGACCCTCTATGTTATCGCACGTCTCTGTGAACCCACGACAACAATCCTTATGCCTGTACTTAGTCACCCTACTCTGTAAGTCAAACACTCAACTGCAACAATTGCGCAAACATGCACTAAATTACACGATAAAGCAATTCGGTCCTACCAGGCTAACTGGGTCACACCACGGGGCTCTGCGCTCCGCACAATCGCTCAACCACGGTACGAGAAGTCAGGCCGAAACAGCGTCAACACCGGTACGCTGCACTACCCACGGCCTCGCCAAAGCAAACGCTAGCTTCGTCACGGACAATGGCAATTACACTCGTACACTACTACTGAGCCCGCTCCATACACAGAACTGAGGAACAACTTACGCAACTCACGCAACTGAACTACTGAACTCAACTGACTCACGCCCGGCCGACCATGCGCTCAAGTACCACGGCAAGGGTAGCGGGGCCACGCCCAATCACGCCGTGGTTGGCCGCCAACCCTTCACCTCTGCCCGGTAACACCAATCACGCATACGCGGATACAGGAAACACAGATTGCAAGTGCGGTCACGGCCTGCCTCGCCCCGCCCAGCAACAGCGAGCGCGCTCCGATTGGCGGCCACTCCCGCCAAAACCACGAGACATTGTCCGCTGACACGACCTGACTTCCTTGCCAAGAAATTACAAGTAAACACTACCAAATAAGGGGAATTAGACTGGTGTCGGCCCACCCCATCACGCCACAATACATTGATTCTTGATTCTCATATAATAGACCATTATCACGTTGCCCATTCAAATCAACGTAACCAATGCGAGGCTGGAAGGAAAAATAGTCTGGTTCCTTTTTGCACAAAAAACATTATCATTCAGTACTAGTGCATGTACTGTTATTGGATACAGGGAACGTGACTGAAATGGTGGCAGCATGATAAAGGTCTATAAGACTAATTTGATTAGGTTTTTATTTATTTATTTGGGGGGGGGGGTTAAGTGTTGAGTATTTTTTTTAATAATCTTCAAACGATGATTTAAGATTCCTTGAGCTTGTTGACCAAGTTTTAACAATTTGGTCAATGATTCACATTAAGGCGAAAAAAATAAATTATAATAGTTCTGCTTCCAGTTACCCTACCTACCATATTTCGACAGCCCCACCCTAATATTTCTTTTGGAAAAACGAGGAAAAAGCCCAGAAAACCAACAATTACTACCTTTTACCCTTGACTACATGGACACGCAGTCACCTATGATCGCACACAAAAATGTGTCCCCCAAAATAATATTTCCCTACCTACCCTATTTTCAAATGCCATGTAATCGGAAGCAGAACAATTCTTTTGGCCTTAGATAAAATAGTCCTCAAAATGTTATTCTTATAAAAATTTGGAGGAAATATTAGTACTGAGGCTAAGCAGGAGGTGGTATTTGTATTAATATTGGGCTTTTGCTTTTCGGTAAAACAATTTTCCAAGGTTCCTGCGGACTGGAATTTTGTTTTTTTCAATTTCCAGACCTGGAAAAGTCATAGAAACTTGTAAAAATGACAAAGGTCTTGGAAAAGCCACTGAATTATGTGAGGACAAGTTTATTTAATTTTTCTTAACTTTTTATACTCATAATTTGTATCAGAATCCTGACTATTATACCCGACAGAAACAAATTTCGCTGATACAAGCATTTTCATACTTTGGTCATGGAAATGTCATGGAAAAGGTGTGGGAATGCTGATATTCCTTTTCATAGATTCTTACAAGAACTTTCATCTCTACGACAGTTACACAGTTCTTGATTTGATTTTCAAGAAGAGTGAATCAAATGCGTATTAATGAACTTACGATTTTATAAATAAACTTTACACATACATTGTAATTTTATGTTAACATTGTTATTTATAAGCTTACTTTATCACTTATTCATGTAATTAGTCTTCTGTTGAATAAAGGAACAGGATTTTACCCTGTGACCTTCAGACAAATTGCACATATCCAGTGTTGTAGGACTCAAGTCCATGACTCGAACTTGAGTCGGACTCGAGTCACATTTTTCGTGACTCGGACTCGACTCGAGTCACATTGGAAAATGACTCGGACTCAGACTCGACCATGATGACTCGGACTCGAGCTTGGTGACTCATGACTCGAGTCCGTACTTTCATTAAAAGAAAAATCACAATGTTACGTATCTGTGCAACGAACGTAGCATTCTTTTTTACTCCATAGACAAAACCGTAAAAAAAAATGTGATTAGTTTGGTGAACAACTAAGAACAAGTGACTCGAGACTCGGACTCGAGGCTTGTGACTCGGGACTCGGACTCGACGTTGGTGATTCGACTACAACACTGCACATATCCAAAAGCACACTCAGAAAAATAATTTAAAAACTGAAAAAGAATAAAAACCACTGTATTTCCTGATTGGCACTTACTGATGTCGCCCGTGTTGACGGTCACTTTCAGTTCATGACAGATATTCTCACATTCCGGTAACGGGAGAAGGGTCCAGGTCTTCTTGCCGGAAAGCTGGGCTTGCCAGGATGGTTTGGCTACATTGTCTAACTGTCGGTAACAACATGATACATTCAACATCAGTTACTCTTCAAGCTTTTTTTTTTCTGCAAGGAATCTTCCGCAAAGTCTATCACTGTGCACGAACCAAAACAATGGTACATTCTTTGTACATGTATATGGGTTGTTCTATAAATTAGGGGTCCAAAGTGGTCAGATATTTTTTGTTTCTCAACTTTGCTGTCTAGTTTTCTTATCCTTTTATTTAAAGCTATAGTCCATCATTTGTAATTTGTGCATTTTGTTCGTTTGAAGCAACAAAAGAGTTCAAAATCTAATGAAGAATACTGAACAACTAACCTGATGAAGTTTCAGCTAAGCTTCAGCTGTACATTCCGAGAAAAACAGCATTCTAAGATCTCAATTTCAAATCAAAAGTTACTGAATCATGTTTTGAATTGCAGCTATACGCGACGTCGCGCACTGATCCGACGAATTCTAACAACAGCACGCGCGTGTGCGTCGTTCCAATACTTGTGCGCGCTGCGCTGAATAACAAAACGAACTACTAATTTAAATTTTCCTACGGTGCTTCTTAAGAATCACTGTTGGAAATGCCTTCTTTCGTTGATTACTTCAAAATGACAGCTTCCCAGAAAGAATAATTTCACAGGGAGTTTAGTTCCCTTACTATCTTTCAACCAAGTATGTTTTTCAACAATAATTACGCCAGTTACTTTTCGGATGGCTGCAAATGATGGACTATAGCTTTAATGGACAGAATGTTTTAAATACCAAGGAAAAGTAGATTATGTGACCATGAAAGACTTTTTACACACATTGGTTTCACATTTAACTGGGACACAGGGGACACCAAATGTTACGCGTAAAACCATAATATTGGGGAGCGCCATATCACATCTTCACACATTTATTTCCTTAAAAATTGTATCTCGTGTTGAAATTGAGTTAGTACCGGTGCATCCATCATGTTGACCTTAAATATGGCATAATTAACCTTTTAAGGTGGCAAACATTTTAATATTTTTAGACTGTACTTTTTTGTCCCACTTTTTATCAAAAAATATGAGAATTTTCGGCTTATTTTTAACCAAAACAGGAACTAAATGGGATCAAGATAACAGATTAGTAGGTTTTATCAATGCAACTTTTATTGGAGTTTGTTACACATGAAGTATCATTAACTACACGGAAACAAAGGAATGTCCACATAGCGTTATGTAAAACCAAACATGCCTGTGTGGGTGTTTGTGTATGTGTAGCCTGGTTTTTGTTTGGACTGGCGGAAACATAGCTGAACACACATTCCTTGGTTATGTAAACATCACACACAAATCTTTTAATGCTGTAGTCCATCATATGCGGCCATCCGAATAGTAACTGGCATAATTATTGTTGAAAAACATACTTGGTTGAAAGATAGTAAGGGGACTAAACTCCCTGTGAAATTATTCTTTCTGGCAAGCTGTCATTTAGAAGTAATCAACGAAAGAAGGCTTTTCCAATGGTTCGTCTTAAGACGCACCGTAGGAAAATTTAAATTAGTAGTTCGTTTTGTTATTCGGGGAAGCGCGCGCAAGCATTGGCACGACGCACACGCGCGCACGGTGGCTATAATTCGTCGGATCAGTGCGCCACATCGCGTATAGCTATAGCTGCAATCGGCTCAGTGAGAACGCGTCTCGGACGCTGAATTCAGGCCCAATTCAAAACATGATCCAGGAACTTTTGATTTGAAATTGAGATCCTAGAATGCTATTTTTCTCGGAATATACAGCTGAAGCTGAGCTGAAACTTCATCAGGTTAGTTGTTCGGTATCCTTCATTAGATTTTGAACACTTTTGTTGCTTCAAACGAACAAAATGCACAAATTACAAATGATGGACTATATCTTTAAAGTTGACCAAAACTCAGCTGGAATTTCGGACAATCCCTACCAGTACCTGGACACGGTCACTAGTGCTTCTTTAATATAGAGCTGCAAAGCAGACAATTTTGTAAAACAAATGTTATGTTCTAAATATAAATTTAAAAAACCTGTTTGCTTTAGGCCAATCAACATTGATTTTAGGTTTCTATCACCGCCCACCTCGATTTTCACTCCCGCCCCGATTTTTTTATATTTTATATTTTTTTCTGAAAGTGTGTTTTTCCTCAAAAAAGTGTATTTTCCAGACAAAGTTCTCACCAAAGGCGAACACATTTTACAGTTGAAATCACAACTAGCACGAACAGCCCGACTTTTTGGGGTCGCAAAAGTGGACCCCGAAAGTCATTCTCGCATGAAACAACACAAAAACGCCCAATTTTTAAAGGATGGTTGTGTGGATGTTTATATCTTACTGTTGAATGTTCTTTCCGATTAACATCATTTCGTTCAAAATACGTTTGTAGCCCAATTGGGCACTTTCCAGGACCTAGTGTCCCTTTAATATTAAGTAGTTTTCATGTTTGTTGTGTCTTTTAGGTTTATCTGACGTTGTCCCCTCAATTCACTTTGAATGTGAAGAAGTGGAATTTATAAAATATAAATTCCTCTCCCGACTGATTTTTTTTCAATCTTGAGTGATGAAAACCTAAAAATCAGTGTTGATTGACCTTACTCAGACCTATCCTACTAGCCCCATAAATGTGGCCAATTTACTGGACTTACCTCCGTAAATAAAGGCCACACTTCCACCATGTACAAAAACATGTAGAACATTTTGATTTTCACATTTAGGCTTAGTTTGTAGTTTATTTTTGCTTTAGAAGCAAACCCACCCTCTTTATAGGCTAATCAGAAAGTGCTGCCTTTTTCAGATGTCTAATTTTTGTGAAATTTCATGTTGAAATTTTGATACACAAACGTGTGCAAACGAATCTGGAAATTTCACGAAAAATAGACATCTGAAAAAGGCAGCACTTTCTGATTAGCCTATAAAGAGGGCGAGTATGCTTCTAAAGCAAAAAAAACCTACAAACTAAGCCTAAATGTGAAAATCAAAATTTGACAAAGTTCGACATGTTTTTTGTACATGGTGGAAGTGTGGCCTATGTTTACGGAGGGAGTCCAGTATTAAAATTGGCCACATTTATAAGGCTAAGACCTACATGAATTCCGGCTCCTTTTCCCGGTCCTCCCATGAATATCCAATCCAGAGCACTGGACTCGGAGCTCTCTGGCAGAAAGTACGGTCTCTCATAATGCCGACGAAGCTCTTCGGCCACAAGTGGATCACAATTGCTCCTATTACGAATATAAACATTTGCGGGATAAATACAAAAGAAGTATGGCAAGAAACATTCAGTCCTTCTGATTTGAGGCGTGTGATCACACCCCCACACCATCGCACAAAAATAAACGCTTCCCGAGAAGTGTGAATAATTGCATGCCTGAATTTCCCCGGACCACAGATCACACACCTAGAAAACCACACGCCTAGAAAAAACACACACCTAGAAAAATCCAGGTGTGCCTTTTTCCACACGCCTGTGATTTTCAAATCAGAAGGATTGCTACATTATCTGCAGTGAAGAAAATGTCATGCCAAATGTTCACATGAGCTATGAGGTGGGTGCAACTCCTACAGTACATGAAACACTGTATATAACAGGGGTGTGAAATCTCAGCTTTAAAGCTGATTTCAGCTCTTGTTTTTTGTTTTGGATTTCAGCTTTTTTCCCTCACTTCCTGTGTACAAAAGTATAGGAGATTTCCAAAGTTCAGCTTTTTCAGCTGTTTTCAGCTATTTTTATCAGTGGTCACACACACCCCTGATATAATAAAACACTTTTACTTTAAAACCAATTTTTAGCACTAGTTTTGCAGGCTGTCACAGGTTTTTTCCTAACTACTTTCCTTTAATTGAGGACATATTGTTCTGTTACTTCTAGTATTAGTTATAGTCTCAATGAAAACATATCACATTTGTGCACAAACACTTAAAAAAATAAAGATTTTTTTAACTTCTAAATTTGTTTGATTTGGGAATTTTCTTTCATAGATTAATTTGGGTATATCGTAAAAGGATCAACGGAGAATGTGGAAAAAATGTTGCAACCTGACGTCACTTTTTTCTTCATATATCATCTCAATGAAGGTCAGTCATTGCAAAAACGATGATAAGACATGAATCTGGGACTGAGAAACATTTCCAATTTTGTTAGGAAATACTTTAAAAAAAATTCTTGACTCTCCATAGACTTTGTACACAACCGCTGAAGTGGCGTCAGGTTGCAACATTTTCCCCCATGTATAATTTTTTTTTTAAATTGGACTGAGATTTTGAGAATAATGAGAAAACTTGCAAAAAAATTGTCAGAGATATACAAAAAAAATTGATGTCTAAACAGCATGCTCTTTCCCTAGAGTACTTTCAAGGTTTTCACTTGTGCAACTTACCAACCAAAATACCACTTTTTCTCGCCGTCGTTGAGAGCCGCTCTCTCGGGCGACATTTGGAAGGCGTCCTCAAGCGAGATAAACTCCGTGTTGTACGGAAAGAACTGACACTCCTCCTCCACGGCCCGCAAAGCATCGGGATGACTGCCGTACAGCTCCTTGAAGTAATCGAAACTGAACGTCTCCATAGCAGTCCATGTAATCGTAGCCCCTGTCACGAGAGCCGGACGGATGTTGTAAGCGTGTTTTGCCACAAACTCGGCGGGCGTGATGCTCTCGTACACCGGTACCGCGGTCAGGTTGCGGCACAGTTCGCACGAGGCCAATGGCCTGCCCATCTCGGACAGGACAAAGCTGCTGCTGATCAGGCATGGGTCTTCCACGAAGTAAGACCAGATTTCCTGGCGAAAATAGACAATCGAAAATCCCAGTACGATCGGTAAGAACAAAGTCAGCACCAGCGACCGAACTTTAGCTTTGCTGATCAGGCTGCCTTTGCCCGCTGTTCCACGCCTGGGAAGTTTTGACTTGGACTTCGTCAACAGGTCGACAAGTTCTGCACTGGATAGGCCACTCCTGTGAGATTTATCTCTAAGTTTCCTGACTTCTTCGGTAAGTTTTCGGCACAGTTCTTCTCTGTTTATTCCCTTAGATGCATCATGTTTGCCGTTGGAACTCATTTTGAACAATTTAATGAGCAGCAATTAACTTGAAAACTTACAACGTAGCCCACCGCAAACCCGGAAATAATATCATCAAAATAAAACTGCGTTAGGCGCTAGCTGTGCACGCGCACCGCATGTACAAGTGTGGGTGCGTGTAGCGTTATGTGTAAAGCGTTTTCAAAGTTTCGGCTTTGATCCAACTTCGGATTCATGAGTTTTAGGGCACTGGATGCTATAACTCAGGTCTACGTTCTGGTTCTAGCCATGTCTGAGTATATGGAGATCAATGGTTCTAGCACATCGAGTTCCATAATCCGAGTCCAAAGTATAGTACACAATGTTTTTAGTTATACGACTTGGGACAGAACCGCACCGCAGTTTAAACCAAGCCCGTGTTTCAAAATATCACTAGATCGACTACGCAGACTTGAAGGGCGCCCGCACACGATAGCCAAATCCAGTCTTTGGGTGCTTGTGATGCTCGGGTTTGGGTTTTTGACATCGGCTATTTCAGGGATACAGTACGAACCGAAGTCCTTATTACACCCTCGGTTTTGAAATCTGGCTGGAAATTATTTGGGGGATTTTCAAGAATTTCTTAATATGTGTTCCATGCAAAATCTTAATTATCCACCATTGGAAATATTCTACATGGCATAAAATGTCAGGCTCTGGTTTTGTTTCCTGTATGACTGATATTTATGTCATTACTAAAAAAAACCAAAATGTCCCAACTTCCTTTCCTGAATGTCATAAAATATGGCGAACTCTGGTGCTTGCTTTAGCCTTTTTGTCCCTAAATTGAACTCAACACAGCAACTCGTCAACAACCCTTAAAATCTCCTAGATTAGGCATGGATTTTGTTGATTGAACATCTTCAAAGCAAGCTAAAACAATTACAGCTGGTGAAAGGTTTCTTTGTGAAATACTTTAACTGCTTAAACTGATGCAATTTGCATTGAGCTAAACACATAACACAAGTAATGAAAGACACAGACACAACGATTTAAGCCTTTTGCCAATATCTTCCGTTTATTCATGGTTTCGCTCACAATGTGAACCTTCAAGAAACCAGGAGGAATGGGTATATAAATGTCCAACCTCCAAAAAAACAAGAGATCCAAGTTGTACATTTTTTTTCTAAAACCACTCAAGTTTTGCAACAACCATTTCTGGTAAAATTATTTGATCCCTTATCGAAAGGAAGTCTAACATGACTGTTTTTTCATTGCTTGAGCCTTTTGGGAAAATAGTAGTTCGATCGTAAGAGATTCACATAACAATGATGATGATGATGATGGTTTTGTATCTTTTGACAGGTGCCCTAGTTCTTGTATCCTCGGCTGGCACGCTTGCCACGAGCTCTCTCAAACTTCCTGCCCTTGGCACGTACGTAGGGCCTGCGAAAAGAAAAAATATGAATATATTAGATTTTTCAAAACAATAAATGAGCGCTTTACTTATCAGTCATCATCGGAAACAAACTTACGTTATGTCCCCGACAGAGCTTTTAAAAACTCGGTGAATAAACCTGCAAACGTACTTTTCAACTCTTTTAACCCTTACCCAACTGGACCCTCCAACGCATGCCATTATGTGCCTTAAGAAAATCTCCTATGTTGTTTGCATGGCCCTCCAATATCTGCCATGTCATTTCAAGGGTAACTGGACAGGCACTCCAATACATGCCACAGAGAACAATGAGAGTCCTCTGATAACAAAGTGAGTGCCCCCAGCTGGTCAGTATCAGGCACCCTCCAGGGCCTCCAACTCCTGCCAATTGGAGCCTTCACTGTTAAGACAAACTATCTGCCAATAAACTGCAGCTGGAGGGCATTGGCATAACCAACTGACATGCAGTTAACTACCCTCAGAGAGTAAGGGTTAAGAGTCTTTAGGAGTTTACAGACTCCTAAAGGAGTTTTGTATCATTCATCTAATAAATTAATTAGAAATCAGGGTTACTTAATTGGCTCTGTCACGGACAATACACTTCCTTCAATAACGCTGGAATTGCCCTTCAGTATTTTCAACTGGAAAAAGGATGACTTTTCCTTTTCAGATTAACGATTATATAATATTGGATTGCTTTGAGGTGGATACAAGAATATATTGCACGAGCGAGTGCAATTTACTTTTGTATCCCCCGAAAACAGCCATCCAATATTATTATTGTTATTTATATCAGGCTGACTTGATTCGCACGAAATACATTTCAATACACTGTCTCCATTTCTTGTATTTTGTCAAACTTTTTTAAGCTGCCATTGTGATTATTGACATTACTGTGCGTATATCTGGACTGCTGCGCGGGCGTCCGTGTTCGCAAAATATCGCGTGCTATGCTGTGTTGACTTGTTGGCAACTGTGAGTTTCAAAGTTCGTGCGGGAACCAGAAAAAATGCCTAGATGAGGGCGCGCCGGACAATATCAAAAATAATATTGTATGCAATCCGGGTACTTTTAATGATAATATTGCTATCATCCGGGTAAGTTTTACAAAAGCATACAATACGCTGAAATCTTTTTACCGCTGGAAGCCTGATATAAATAATAATAGAGAATATACAAATGGATCTAGAAAGTTTTCATTCTGAGTAAATTTATCTGCTGTGTTATCGCATCTTATATCATTGCAACAAGGTCATAACTCGATTCTGCAACAAGGTCGTATCTCGCATATCGCGACGTCCATTGACTTTGTGTGTACATCCAAGTCATTTTAAGCAAGATACGACCTTTTGACATTGAAAACTCGCGTTTCACGCACACTACGTCACACGCCATTTTAAGAGATACGACCTTGTTGCACGGACAGGACGAAATCATCAAATTTTGGTGAGCTTCGCACAGTTCAAACACTTGACCGGCTTATTTATTTCAAAATGTAATATTTTCTGAGGGGTCAAGCAAAGCAATGTATTAGAATTACTGCACGGGCCAAAATCTACATTGGACAGATAAGACCAAAAAAAGGTCTTCAGTTTCTGGTATGGAGCTTGCCCCAAAAGTGGTGCGGCGACACAGCCTTTTTTTTCTCTTTTTTTTGACTTTTTTTCTTCAAATGTCGGCTGATGACTGCAAATGGTGCCTGACTAAATTGAGTGCAAAAAGTATTGGAGCCCAGAAGGGCCACATAAAGCTTATGCTCCATCGTAACCCCATCTAAAAACACGTTAAAAGTGTGCAGCAGCAGGATTCCAGTCAAACCAGTGAGTTTGGCGGTTTTGAGACATCATCTTACATTGAATTTTTTTTTTTTTATTTTGCCGACGCCCATGTCCACAGCGACGCACGCGCATACCAGAAACCGGAGACTTTGGGGGGGGGGGGGCCTAATGAAAGACGACTTACTTGGTGTGTGAGTGGGGAGTTCCTGGTGCTTTGCCAAAGTGTCTGTACACTTCCCTTGACTTGCGTGGTCCTGTAAGATCGAGTACAGAGTGGATTAGAATTGCTGATGAGTTTCAATTGCTCCTATCACTGAATTCATTCGTCAGGTTGAGACAACACATTTATTACTTTGCATTATTTTACAAGGGCAGCAACTCCAATGGTGCTGAACCTTAACTCCCTACTAGGAACCATACCCATCCTGGCAAATTCCAACACCATATGGGAACCTGCACACGCATATTTCTGACTTTGATTCTGGAGGTGTGCCAACCCAATGTAAAAGACTGTCAGTTTATGGGTACGCACCCATCCTGACAGATCCTAACAAAACCCCGTTTGGGTTTGACGGGCTGAGTTCTGTTAGGGTTAAAGATGCGTTCCTGTAGCTATTTTCCTAGAAATATAAAAGTTATTCACTTTTGAAGGAGACATCTAACGAAACAAAATCCACCGACATTTAGTTTTTATTTTATTATTTCTTCACAAAAATCACATCATTGGCTGCCAGACAATTCAGCTCTTGCAGGGCAGGTTCTTTGTGTGCAAAATGAAATTTGTTTTACAGAGGGTTGCAGACGAACCGTAGTTTTTTCATAAAAACAAATTGAAAATTGAACATCATTGGGAGAATTCTTTTAGAGCATGGGGTGTGCATCTTTAACAGATCTCCATAGGGGCAATTTTGGAGGATTCAGGAAGGTTTTATAAGATGAAATTTGCATCGGGTGCTAACCCACCTCAATCCTCCAAAATCCTATTAGCAGTTTCGGAGGAGTTTTGGAGAATTTTTGAGGATTGAGGATGAATGGTGTTGAAGCACATGAGAATTTTGGAGGATTGAGGATGAATGGTGTTTGAAGATGAGGATTTTGGAGGATTGAGGATGAATGGTGTTTGAAAAGGAGGATTTGGAGGATTGAGGACAAATACATCTTTTTAGGCAGGACTGCCTGACGATTTTGAAGGATTGAGACGCTGGGTATCCTTCATTTGAACATAAGTGGAGGATTTTGCAGGATTGAGGCTGGTTCCAAGCAAAAAGGGCCTAGGGGTTAGGGTTAAGTTTGCCCTTCACCGACGTATAAACACTGTATACCCAGTGTGTAACCTCTCAAGCGAAAGACAAAGTGAAGGTCCAGATACGGTTGCCCTTAACCTACCTTGCAAGAGGACTGTGTTCTGGCCTTTGGGTGCCTTGAGAGCAAGCTGGTCCAGGGTGATAATCTCACCACCGGCCTTGATGATCCTGGCCCTAGCACGGGCTGTCACATGCAGAGCACACAGCTACAAACAAAAACAAAACGAACAAAAAAACATTAATAATAACAGGCATTTACTTTCACGCCGTAACAGGGTATCAAAGCGCTTTACAATTAGTATTACCCCTGTTTCAAAGGGGAAACACTCTTGAAACCTTCTCAACTCCCTGGGGAGCATACATGGCCGGTAGGCAGCCACTTTCATGCTCTTACGAGTAATCAACCTCTCACAGTCACCAACACTATCCTCATAGGTACCCATCTACTCCTGGGTGGAGAGTAGCAATGAGCGACAAAGTGCCTTGCTCAAGGGCACACGCACCATAACCCCGGGCTGGACTCGAACCCACAACCTGCAGAATTATCCGCAGACCACGAATTCAATGCTCCAGATCACTAGGCCACAGCACTCCACTGTAACAATGTATTTTCAGTGTTTGGTTTTGCCCGGCACTAATGCATTCGGGCAATTCCACGGTTACTCACGTTACATTTTTTATGTACTTTTGAGTTTCCTTGGGCTGAACTACCTTACTGAAAAGGTTTAATAACTGTTATCCCCATGGTAGATAGAGTAGACCTAGACCTACCTAAGCACCAAAGATGACATCCAGAAAAATGTGTTATGTATGATAAACAAGACGCACAAAATCGGTTACTCACGTTACATTTTTGTAACGTGAGTAACCGATTTTGTGTTGAATGATTGCCTGGTTTGAACTGCAATGCACCACTAAACAAGTTGAAAATTGTTGTTGGGCAACAGAAGAAAAGTGAAATTCCATAAAATTCACATTAAAATTGGAAGTCAAATAAGTGCAGGCACACTGTGTTTTCCACACAATGGATCTCTCGTGAGTGATCATGAAGCGCCATGTACTCTTTGTGGGGTTTGGAAACTCCAAACCACACAAGACTTTGTACAGTGTTTTTCAATTTGAAATGGCATTCATGAGAAGTAAAAAAACGAGGAAATCAGCGGATCCCAGGAAAAGTTGTACGCTTGTCGCTCATGCATATCCAAGCAAAACCAAGGTATCGCCCTTTAAGATGGCTACAACGCAAGTTAATCCATGGGTGTTTGGGCAGTTGGTGAGCAGCCTGTACATACGCTACGGGACGAGGAAGTGGATAGCTTTTTGACGGTTTGTGACAGTTCTATCAGTAGGAGGGTTCAAGCTTATTCAATTGAACCCTAACCGCCCTGAATCCTTCAAAATGCTCTTTGCCAAAGTGGAGGAATTTGGAGGATGAGGTTACACGGGAAAAGTTCGTAGGATGCACTCTGTCAAGGTCTTGGGCCGGGCCTCGTGTTGTTTTTGCTCAGCCATGCATTAATATAGGCCTGGATTATGCTTCAAATCCTCCGTACTGCTCCAGGATGTCACTGGCCAAGCCTCAACATATTGACAGTCACTGCCCCAGGATTTTGCAGGATTCAGGCAGTGGTCACCCCTCCATGGACCACATTCAAGAACTAATGGAGGAATTTGCAGGACTGAGGCTATATGCTATTTTTCCATGAGGCCAATTGGAGGATTTTGCAGGATTGAGGCTACATCCTAGAAAAAAAGTCCTAGGAAATTAGGGTTAATGGACCCACCTTGACCTTCGGCACAGTGAAGATACGAAGATCATCGGTCACTGTTCCGATCACAACTGCCGTCTTGTCTTCACGGCCTCCCAGTTTCATCTTACGAACCTGTACATCAATTAAATATGTGCCAGGTACATGTCAATGAGAAACCAATATTTCATCATAGATATTAGTTCATTAACCCCAACGTACCTGAATCCATCAAAATCCACACCCCTATTTCGGAGGATTTCGGCGGATTCAGGATTCCTCCATATTGAAAAAGATGGGGGATTTAGATGGATTCAGGACAGTAAGCCTAGCGGGACTGCAGGATTTTGATGGATTCAGGATACTTCCATATTGAGCAGTTGGGGGACTTTGATGGATTCAGGATCTCAACAGATTTATAACTGGCTAACTGGTGGATGTTGATAGACTCACTGGCCACCAACATTTTTTTTTTCATGGCAAAAATGAAGGATTTAGGCGGATTCAGGATAGTTTCTAGTAAAAAATACCAAAGGGGTTAGGGTTAAGAGGAAACTTTCTCTGAGTTAAAGCCACTAAATTACTATCCAGTGGTAGTGAAAGCACATGACTGATGAATAAATCGCTGATCGTAGTCTAGTGGTCAAGTGGGTTTATTTACAAATTGGTTTTGGAGAATTTTCAGGATAAAGAGCCGGATTTGTATTAATTACTTAACATGGAGCTTGAGGGCCACTGAAAGTTCAAGTACTAAATGCACGCCCTTGAATTGTTGGCGCAGTGGTAGATTTTGGAAGATTCAGGCAGGTTCTAGGCAACAATATAGAAGCCCTGGCACTGAAGAAAGTCAGAGAAACTGTGCATCCTCAATCCATCGATTGGCAGGGGAACTACTTTGATGGATTTTGACTGGCTTAGGCCTACAGTTGGAGTAGTGAGGATTAACCCTAACGTACCTGAATCCATCAAAATCCACACCCCTGTTTCGGGGGATTTCGGCGGATTCAGGATACCTCCATATTGCACAAACTGGGGGATTTCGATGGATTCAGGATTGTAAGCCTAGTGGAACTGCAGGATTTTGATGGATTCAGGATACCTCTTTATTGAGCTGTTGGGGGACTTTGGCGGATTCAAGATCTCAACAGATTTACTCCTGCCTAAACTGGTGGACTCTGATGGACTCACTGGCCACCCAAAAAAAATGTTGCATGGCAAAATTGATGGATTTTGGCAGATTCAGGATACTTTCTAGTAAAAGAGCCCAAGGGGTTGGGGTTAATGTCACTTTCATACATACCAGCCTTGCCAGGGACAAGGGCTGACGATTGGCTCTGCTCATGAACAGCCGTCGAAGCACCACTTTATTGAACTTGGAGTTGGTGCGGCGAGCCAGGAATCGGTACAACTGGAAAAACAAAGAGTGTAAGATGGTCACTGAACGACTGACCAGGTAAAAAAAACAACATAAAACACATCATTATCGTTTTATAACATCTTACATAATTCCCTAACCCACCTCAATCCTCCAAAATCCTCATGGTGGTTTTGGAGGATTTTTTCAGATGTCTATTTTTCGTGAAATTTCCAGATTCGTTTTCACACGTTTGCGTATCAACATTTCAACATGAAATTTCACGAAAATTAGACATCTGAAAAAGGCAGCACTTTCTGATTAGCCTATAAAGAGGGTGAGTATGCTTCTAAAGCAAAAATAAACCACCGGTATAAACTAAGCCTAAATGTGAAAATCAAAATTTGACAAAGTTTGACATGTTTTTGTACATGGTGGAAATGTGGCCTTTATTTACGGAGGAAGTCCAGTAAATTTGGCCACATTTATGGGGCTCCAATTTGATTTTAAAACATCCATCACAGAGGGTGGGCTTCTGATCGGGCACTGGATGAGATCCAGTCTGGATCTGAGGAGGCGCGGAGCCGTGGCGTCGCGGAGCCTTGGAGCCCAGGAGTTACGGAGTCGCGGATCCTTGGATGTGGGAATGCCAATGCGCGGACGAGGGTGGGCCTGTGATTGGGCACTGGATCTGTGGAGGTGCAGAGCCGTGGAGCTGTCATGGCTGTGGAGCTGCAGAGTCACCGAGTCGCTGATCTCCAGATGTGGGATGGGAATGCCTTCGATATTGGTAGAGGGCGCAATTCTTGGAGGTAGGTGAGTAGGTCAACTACGCCTCCACACGGCTCCACATGTCCACGCAGCCAAATCGGCGCAGCCAAATCGGCGCGGATATAGACATGATAGAGTGGAGTGGCCCTGTCATGCCTGTATTCTACAGTTGTGCCTAGTAATATTTGTTTTCCCAAAATATAATATACATGTTTAGTGTAGGCCATTAGCATTACATTTAATATTACATTTTTAGTAAAATATTCACTAGTCACTACACACCTTCACAAGAAGTCCGAGATAAATATCCCGACTCTTCGGTTCGGTTCTACGAACCCGCCGTTGTTTGGAGTGGTCCAAATCTATACCCTTTACGCAAAAAAACACACAAAGCAAAACAAGAGAATATATTACTTAATCATCGTACACATTTTTATTAGTTAAATATTGGGGATGGAGAAGATTTTCTACGATCTTTCTGTCGTCTCTTTCACCTTCAACATACCATTTTGATGATCGGCTGCAAAAAGGCCGATGGTGGGAGTGCATTGTGGGTAAAGCACTATAATCCATCCTTTTGTGGGATGTGCTGCAAATTTTACTAAACGTCACATAGTCGTTTTTAGTCCGTTTTTGCCACTGGGGTTGAAAAACGCACGTGCGTTAGTTGGGAATTTAGTTATAGCCACTCGGCACAATAAAAGACTCACACACAAATGAAAGAAGTTTAAATTATGAAACTTAAATACGTTAATACTGCATGTACATGTATGTAAGTCTCAGTCGAGTTCAAAAAATTCCTGAGCTCATGTTGACGAGAATCTCACCAGTAAAAATCATTAATTGATGGTATAGCGACAAAAATATCAAACAGATGTTGGCAAAATGAATCGTTAGAAATGTACCTTCCAAGTAGAAATTTATTCACTTGATATAATTAGTTTGTTTTGACTCAATGTTGACTTGGTGTTGTTCATCATCAAAATGATACAAACTGCTCACTTTAAAACGACCGGTTCGAGTAATATCTCATGCTGGTTATCGCTATCATTCCGTTCCATTAGTTCCAAATCTATGTCTTTACAATTCAATGAGCTGTATTATTTCAATCAGGGCAGTTTGATGAATAATGCATTTCCACTGTTTGTTATTACCTCTTTACATGCACTCTGACCATCATTTGCATATAAGAACCACTGGGAAAATCTATTTAATAACAGAATCGTCGTCAAAAATAGTGTTATTCAACGTCCCACTTTATATTGGAACAGTTTACAATATTCTCAAAAAATCATCACCCTCTTTATCTATACATGTATTTGTTAAAAACCCGGAAGCTCAATTCCTCAATTCTTACTCATATCATTAAGTTATAACATGTGAACTGACTTTTTGTGTCGTAATTCACGATTATGGAGACTGTGTATAACATCTGTTTTGTGTATAACAGCTGTTTTGTTCCCTGTTAACAGGAAACAAAAGATTGTAGAAGTCTCCACAGGGCATGGCAATTAGGGGAATACGTCTCCACAAGGTTACCAGGGTTACCACGAAATAGATACATGTATATGGATTTTACTGAACAAAAAAAGTTATATGAAATAGATATATGGATTTTAATCAAAAACTAGGACTTTCCAAGGTGTGTTTATCCGTCGCAAATTGAAATATTTAAAGGAATATTAGGGCCTAAGTCCAAATTCAAGCCCAGGAAACTAATTTTGGTGAAGATAGGAGCATTTTGAAACTATATTTTCACATTCTAAAGTTTTATAACACGAGAACAAATCAGGCGCGGTTCTAGAGCCAATATTTTTGTTTGGGGGGGGGGGGGGGGCTAGCAGGGTGGATCCAGAATTTTTTTTTAGGCAGGTGTGCTGAAATATAGACCAGTTATTTTCTCCGGATTCTTAGGCCTCCGAAAATCAAAAGGTGGGGTGGGGGGGGGGGGCGGGGGGCTCGTGCCATATTTTTAATGGGGAGCGCTGATAAAATCCTACAATCAGCCACACTATATTAACTAAAAGTGCACAGATGCACCCGGCCTTCTCACGACTATTTATTTAGGGGGAGACTATTTGCATGTACGCCACATTCTTACATTTTGCTATAGTGCATTTTTTTTAATGGAAATTTTTTTTTTTGGGGGGGGGGGGCTAGACAAAATTTTGGGGGGACTAAAGCCCCCCTAGCCCCCCCCCCCCCCCCCCCCCCTAGAACCTTCACTGGAACAAAGAAATGACTCTACAGGGATACATTGTCAGTAAACAAATGTCAATGTGTATTCATTTCGGTTACTCAAGTGTACAAAAAGAATTTCGCTTCCCCTTAGACCTAAATGTTGTCGCAAATTTTGCTCCTTTGGCATTTAAGATCGGGACTTTTTTATCTACAAATGTTTTTTTTTACACAAAACATTGGTAATGACGGCAACATTGAAATAAATGTTCTAAATGATGACATTGTGCATTGATCATCTATACTACAATCATACTACAATCACGAAAATGATTCGGGGGCGCTGCCATTTTCCCGACCGGTCTCCCGTCCCCATCGCGCCCGTTGGCCGCGGGGGATGCGGAACGGGGCCCGGCTATTTCCACCCTATTTCCCATAATTCCCTTCCCCATTGAGCCGGCCGCGCCGGCCATCTTGCGTACGGGCCGGATAATTGACGTGCCACGTCGTATACGTTCGTTATGAGCATGCAGCGTATGGGCCGGATAAGCAGCATGCAGCGTATGGGCCGGATAAGCATGCACCGCATGCAACTTGCTCCACATTTCTTCAGCACAACGTTGTTGACATGGTTGCTCCAGTTTTCTCTTTGAACGGTAAGTCTCATTTATGATATGTATTGTTGTTTGTGAAAAGTGGTATTCTTTCGAACGCCACTGGCAATGAGAAGCATTGTTGTTTGTGAAAAGTGGAGTTTGTGAGTGTCCAATGATGGCGTAGTCTGGTGGTACGGGGAGGGTAGTACGGGGAGGGTTGTACGGGGAGGGTTTTACCATGAGGGGGGAGGCCTCGGACATGTTTGGCCGCGGCCGTGGGTTTACTTAGCTAGGCTTCATGTGGCCAATTTACTGCATGACCTTCGTAACTACAGGCCTCACTTGGAACATGTACCCGAACATGTTTGTAGAAGTTTGTCAACTTTTGATTTCACAACTGGGCTTTGTTTGTAGTTTATTTTTGGATTTTGCTTTAGTTTTTTTTAGGCCTAGGCCTACTACTAGCTAGAAAAAAAATGCTCCATTTGTATGTAGGCCATGAAATGTACATTCATTCCATACAAATGATGCAAACTAAATCTTTGTGGTAATCTTGGAACACGGCAGATCATACTAACAACTTCCTTTAAAGAAATGACTTTCATACTCATAGGCAAAACAAAATTAATTTACTGCAAATTAAAGACCAATAACCAACTTAATAAAAAAAAAGTCAAATCAAAATTAAAGACATGATCAAGTTCAAACCTCGGGCCAAAACCAAAAAAATACAGGCAAAGACTAAAACCTGAAACCAACACAGTATGAATAGTGGATCTTAGAGAATACACTGGCAGAAAATCAAATGACTCGACAACGGACATGAACCCAAGCAGGATAAAGAGGAAACTAATACATTGATGACTGTTCAGTGTCTCTGCTGTTCTGCTGGGATAAAATCATATGTGGGGGGGGGGGGGGGGGGGGGGGGTTCACAAAACTACAACATATAAGACATGTTTCGTTGTTTGGCATGTTTGGTTAGTACTTCAGTAGTGCATTCCGCATAAAGGGGTATTGCAACACCTCTCTAATTTATTTGTAGCTATTGTTAGCCGATGTATTTTTTTTCAAGTTTTCTTCACCTTAGTCGTTATTCTTTTCTTTCTAACTCCTTTACAAAGGACTCCCGATGACACCCACATCACATGACCAGCTCCAACCATGCTCCAAGCTTGCTTCAGTGCATGCTTCAACCAGTTCCCAAAGCAAGAATCTCAACCCAGTCTCAAGACGAAGACGTGACACACCTATTCTTTCCAGTTCAACTGCAAGATTCCTGCTTTTTCTCTTTACCCATTCAAAACACATTTTCCTTCTAGCCATAATTTTATTTTTAGAAGTCATGAAATAGTGCAAAAAAATTCACTCTTTTCTGCTGTTTTATGTCCATCCTTCTTTAAAATCATATCCTTGGCTTAGTTGTACCCAAGAATAATGATGGAATGATTACCCGATAATTACTGGCCAAGCAGACTGTGTCGATCCTGGCAAACTTATTTGATAACAAAACAATGTCTTTGATTACCAAATTACATAATCACTCTTTAAATTTCACAACAAAATATTCAGACTCGCATACCCCTCCATTTCTCATGAGTTTTCACCAACACTCATTAAAAATATGTTGTCCTGTAACTTACAATGCCACTGTCATTATTTATGATTACAGCTTTTAACACAAAAAACTGCAATTGCACAATAACCTTTGGCCGTCTTGCTTGAAAGTCTTTCATGGAATGTTTGTGCCTATGGTAAACAAGCCTGGACCGACGTCCCTTGAGAAAATTGCTCCGAAAACTGACTACAATTATATCCCCTGAGTTTTGTCGAAGTACTACCCTGTACAGTAATGAATGCAAATACATTATTACTAAAAAAAATCGTGTATACCTGATTTCATTTTCACAGTTTTGTAATCAATACATTTAACATGTGGTGATTGACATAATTATGAAGTGCTCCAATATGTCCTTTCTTTTAGTTTTACTCTCTTTTGCAAATAAACGTGTTACAATACTTTGCTGTACAACCCCATCACCATAATAAAAACACCAACTGCTATAATGACATTAACTTCTACCTAATACATAATTAGAAACACCCCCTTCACCATAACAAATATAAATTGTTGCCCACTTCCCCGGAAATATAAGTGACCATTCACAGGTGAAACATAAATAGGCATGGGCGTCGCGAGGGGGGGGGGGCACTTCACCCCCCCCCCCCCCCACCTAAAAGCAAAAAAAAAAAAAAAAGAGGCGCCAAGTCATAGTGGTGTGAATTTAATGGGTTGGGGGGGGCAAAATGTCCCTACCCCCCCCCCTCTAAAACTGATAAATCGAGAATGTGTTGAGAAAAACAGGCATTTTGGGGGCAAAAATATGTTTTGCCCCCCTCTAGAAAAAATCCTGGCGACGCCCACACAATATCCAACCCCCACCCCCACTGGCTGCCCCCTCCTCTCCTCTGTAGTGAGAACGATGGATACGACGTTGTATAGGCCAAGATCAAACCGCGTTTCATCTAAATTACCTAATTGTACAGTTGGTGTTTACGTCCTTAATGGTTTGGCACCTTGAAAAATCAATGTTCAAATTGACTGGACAATATTCTAGCACAACATTATTTATGAGCTTTATATAATGAGACATCGCATGAGACAATCGGTGGGCAATAAATACTTAATTTCATTCAACTGTTGACAGCAAGACCTTCCTAATCGGCGGGCAATTTAAAACAACATTTAAACGGTATGAATCCCAGCACAAACATAAACCTCCACAATATCAGCGATTTCAATATCACCATCTCCCCTCTATAACAAAAACCAT